TAAACACGATATGCTCGCGCTCTCTGCGCATTAGTTATTTGCTCTCTCTCTCTCTCTCTCTCTCTTTCCAAGTCCTACACACAGTGCTGTATGGAATGCTAGCGGAGAAAAAACATGTATATATAAAGCTTCGATCAAATGAACCGCAACTGCTTCGCATCATTGTGGGCGTCATCAAAGTTGCCGTTCACTTGCAATGTGGGCGGCTGAGACTGTCACAGCGGCCGCGACGTCAACATCGGCAGCAGCAGCAACTGCGGCAGAGGCGGGTGGCTGCTCGGTGGCGTGCCTTGGTGGCATTTGTGTCATTTGAAGTTAATTGCTGGGAACGAACGAGGGGCCGCACAACGTGGCTGTGACCGGATTTGTGTCACTCTTAAGGTTAACTTGTAATTATGATTATTGCATTGCCATTTGTCTAGCTGAAGCTGATTCTTGGTTTCTTCTGTTCTTCGGCTCTTCGGTCCATGAATATTGAAACTTCCAGCAATTAAGCACCCAAGGAAGTCAAAAGCTTTAACACAATAACAAACACACTCTCTGTCCGTTAGATGGCAACCTTATTATTTTTCAACAAATTAATCAATGTGGGCAACAAAGCAGGCAGCAGCTCACTTGACCCCAACTGGAGAGTGCGAAGAGTTGAGCGCACCAGGTTTTCCGTTTTGTGGTTGCTTTCGTCAAAATAAGAAAAAAAAAAAAAAAAAAAAAAAAAAAAGGGAAAAAAAAACATTTTGCGTGCGCTTTTTCCAGCAGCACCGTAGAAGCTTCCAGAGCAGCCCAGGCCAAAGCCAAGCCTCGGCCGACGAAGCACTGCCATAATGGAGTGTGAGAAAACTGAGCGAGAGAGCCGTTCAGCGCTTACCGTTAGCTGTTAGGCGAGTGCTGCATTAAAAAGGGCGCGCTCATTACGTGTAGGAAAGAAACACACAAAAACAAAAATGGCTGCCAGCCAAAAGCAGCAGCAATAGCAAAAGCAACAATAGCAAACGGGAATGTGCTGTGCAGCTGGGCAACTGCATTCCAATTGGAATAGCTTTTGGGAAGCGAACGATCCACAACTAGCAGGAAAATCTCACACACAAATACAAACACACACACACACACACACAAAGAGACAGAAAACTCCGTTAAGGAAAACCAAGTTAGTCTCACTTTTTGGGCTTCGCATCTTTGGCTAGTTTCACTGAGCCGCGTTGGGCCTGGAATTCAGGTCAAGCATTTTAATGCGTTGCAGCTTAGGGAGCTCTCTTATATTTTTTTTTATTTATGCTGGCAACTAAGTTTTTGCTGCGGCCATTCCCTTTACAGTTAGACGTAGGTACAAAATTTACATAATCATCTGCATATGCTTTTAGGCATAGTGACGTTATACAGCATTTGTAGCTCTTAGAATTACATACATTAGAGATACGAAAATTTAATGTATCTTCAAAACAATTTAATTTTGAAATATTTAATTTTAATTCGTTAAAATCAAATGGCACTTGCTTTACAGTAAGGATTGGCAGAAAATATACCTATTTTCACATAACAGCAGGGAAATTTAAGCTCAGCCAAGGGGCAATTTTGTAGACATTTCCCAATCACTGGGAATTCTCGAATGGTTGGTTAAAAGACCACACGTATGTTAATTCTAACTCTCCAAATGATCCAATAAGGTGTGTCATTCCGCAGGCGTAGCCATTTAATTTAATTCAAATCTTATGCGTTTCATACAATTTAGCATCCATTTGAAATCGAAAATAACAATAAACAAATTGGGTCTAGAGATTCCTTGATGGGCAAGTTGGCCAATGGGAAAACCAGTTTGGCCAAGCATTAGCCACAAATCCGTATTATAAACAAGCCAAAGTGAACAGCAATTAGAGTAAACGGCTCGAAAATACCCTGTTTCTTTAGATCTATCTTGTTATTTAACAACTACCAAAACTTAGCTTTGGATGAATTTGCTCGAATATGAGATACCCTAGTTTCTATTATTTTAATTAAAATTTATATGATATAATATTATTATTGTTTATTTTTTATTAATCTTTGCGATACACCAGATCTGTGAAATTCAGCTGACTACAAATATTATGTTTAACAAAAGAGGTTTATTTAAACCTATTGGCAGTACGGAGCATCGAACGTGTCTATACAAAAAGCTGGTATATCAAAACATTGGAGTATCCCACGCAGAATACCCATTTTTTTTGCTTTTGAAAACGGATTCGATTTAACGTTGACGAAGTGCACGACTTTGGTCTAATAAATAATGGAGCGAAAGGCGAGGGACGAGTGGGATAAAGCGAGCGGTAGGGGCGATTGGGTAAATAATTGAGAGACATAAGCAAAAACCCCTACGCACAGGCGGCGAAGGTTAATCTACACACGAAACGATCGAGAAGGAGGGAGGGAGGCTAAAAGAGAATGAGAGACAAAGAGAGAGAAAGACGCCTTTGTATGAAACACTTTGTAGACTTTTTTTTAATTAAAAGCAAATTTGGATGCCGCTAAGCAACAAAAAAAACACCAACAAACACAGCAACAATAATTAAGCAATTAATTTATATCGATTGTTGGGGAAAAAACAGCTCGCGCAGCCCACAAACCTGTTGATCAACGTTAGCCCAGTTATAGAACCCATTATTTGAATGGGCAGTACCCAGGGACTTTATCGCCCCTATAACCTATAAGATAGATAATTATAATACTGGGCAATGCCCAAACGTATAAGAGTTATGCAATCTATCGAATTATCCAATACTTACAAGGAAATATTATTTCAAGGACATTGTAATACAGCATACTATTACAGATGGTAATTTCATTATAAATTACAGAATATTGATAACCTTAAATCCAAATGTAAAATTCACCTATTTTACCTTATAATCAAAATTTGAACAAAAGAAAAATACTTTGAGAACTCTATTTCTCTCTCTATCTAATCTCCATTTTCATTGGTTCTAAAATCCAATTGGGATTCGGTCGTCTACATTTTATACACAAATTTCTTCAAATTTCCCAGGCTTGATTTACATACATATATGAAAAGCATTGAAAATAAATAATTTTATATTTTTTAACATTTTTGTTTATTGTTATAAAAATGTTAGTAAATCATTTTATATACAAAACTCTTTTTATATTTACATATCTAATTTCAGCGTGTCTTTGGTCTATAGTATAGCCCATAGTGTACTACACACACCCTTTGTAGACGGTCCGAATGATTCATAGTTTAGTTTTCAATATGACAATCAGCCTCTGACGAAATACGCTATAAAGCAATTAATTTTAATTGATATTGCAATTGTTTAAGTCTGTTAGCTAGAAGTTTAATTCCCTGAAGTAAAGCCATTCTAAAAGTATATGCAATAGATTTAATATGTATATTATACAACTTTAACATTAAAGTTCTTCGAATTACGTCTAGAACCGGAATTAGATTTTACAGTCAATCACTTCAATAAGAGTTACGTCAAAAATATTTCTCGATATTATATCATTTATACAAAGGGTAAATTGTAATAAGTTTTACTATAGCAAATCTATAGAATTTGAAGATACCCTTTTTATATTAAAACATTCTTTTGATAGATAATTTTAATATATACTGGAATTCATAGCTTATATATAACCTTATATATAACCCTAAAGTTCTCAATCTTTATTGATAATTTAACTTATACATAACAACGCTTCAAGTTTTCTTCATAGATATGACTCCCCCTCCCCCTAGACATAAAGACCCTCATACCCTTCTTCACACAATTCGTAATGCACACAGGGTATCGAACGAGAATGCCCAAAGGAATTTGCTGGGCATTTTGATTAACGATACGTTAATGATCCTTGCGTTATCTAAGGCTGTGAGCTCTCTCTGAGGCTGGGTAACGCCCCAGTATTTAAATATTGAAATACCATTATAATAAATACCATTAATTGCGGGCCGCGACTGAAATGGGGCGTAGGGTTCCCCCGTTTGTAAAATTGGTATGCACATAATATTAAGCTCAAGTGTGAAGCGGGGAAAAGTCATTTTGATTTCGGTTTCAGTGAGACGCGCGCCAGCGAGCGGGGCACGCGTTCTGATCGAAAACCCGTTTTCTTTGGGATGGCATTTATAAAATAGATGTAGCGGAATGCGCCGCGTTAGAAAATTTCCCTGTTACTATTTATAGCGCAGATTGCCGAGCAAAAAAAAAATGAAATGAAATGATAAAACAACAACAACAAGAGACTTCATCAAGATGCAATCGATTTGCAAGTGATGCGGGGAGAAATAAACAAACAGAGCAGCGTAAGCTTAGAGCCACCCACTTGCGGAGAGCGTGAGTAAGTAAGTAAGTAGGAGAGCGGCGTGAGAGCGCAGTGCTGAGAGCGCAGCTTTATGCTGAGCATGCAATAACAGCTAGCCCAAGTTGCAGAAGCAGCGTCGCGTCGACGGCGGCAGAGCGAAACGAGGACGAGCAGACGCGCTGCCACGAAAACTGCATTGTTGTCATATTTCGTAATACGCTGAAGCAACGACATCACGAAAGTACTAGGGGCTCTGTAAGAGGGGCGGTGCGGGCCTGGGTAGGAGGAGTGCGCAGAGCAGTAGTGGCAGGTCACAGCGACGAACGAGCAAAAGGAAGCCAAAGTGGAGAGCATGCGCTGCTGCAGACCAGCGCTCATTTGATTTCGACATGCGCTTATCAGGCAGCAAAAGAGAGAGAGAGAGAGAGAGAGAGCACAAAAGAGACCAGAGAGCGTGTGAGTCAAGAGCGTAAAGGGCGAACGCTCAAGAAGAGCGCCAACGCAGCGGCAACTGCTGCTGCTGCTTCTGCTCGCCACACACTGTCTTCGTATTAGTGAGCGCCAAGTCAAAATGTCAAGTTGCTGGCTGTTCGCTTGCGCTCTCTACCTCTCTCTCTCTCAGTTTCAGTCTTTATCTGCTCTGGGCCGACTGCGGCGTTTTAGCACTTTGGCTGGTTTTGCTGGCCGCCAAGCCAATTCAAACGCTCATTCCATTTCATCCGCTCGTCCGCGTCCGTCAACATCCCACTTAACGTTTTTTTTTTTCCATTTCGGTTTCTAGCGCACACGAAGGCTGCGACTCGGCTTCACACACAAACAAACAAACACACATACACGGCCATTTATCACATTTGAAAGCCGCCATTACAAAACACGAAACGGGAGCAGAGCGTAGACGACGATATTATTATCCACCCAGCGGCGACGACATCGATACCAACACCAGCAAACGTCGTAAAACAGGCGCGCGTGTTCGTCGTCGTGGCAGCCCCTCGAAACCCACAAACAGACAACACACACACACATATACAAACACGCTCATTTCTACTCTACACACACGCATACTAAGGCGCAGCCACATCGGCTCCAACCAACTCTTCCGCCCAGCCGCCGCTCCTCTCCTAACCGACAACCCAATTCTGCCCCTGTCCGCTCACAGTTCGGTTTTCGTGATCGTGCTCTCGTTCGTGCCCGACGTCGCGACGCTGGCTGCGGCAGCGACAGCAAAAGCAACAAACATTAACATTCAGGGACAACGACAACACGGCGACGGCGTCTGCGTCGACATCCCTACGTTTCAGTTCTGATTGGAGATTCGTGCGCCGCCGTTGCTTGCACGCGGCAATTGCTCAGCTCAGCTGTGAATTGTGTATTGAGTTATTTTCAATTCCGTTTTCAACCTATTCACAACTGTTGCAACTCTCGCCTGACTTTGCCTTTTTGCAATAACAAAAGAATATCGACGAATTATACGATCAAGAATAACGGCGAATAGAAGAAATCCGAAATCTGAAACAGTGCCTCAAGTGTGTGTGCTAACAGTTATTTAGCAAAACAAAAAGAACGAAAAAAAAAAAACGTGAAATCCAATACAAAATAAACTTTCCAACGCAACAACAAGTTAAAGACAACTAGGAGCGGATTACTAAAGCTGTCAAAAACGGTAAGTGCTGAAGAAGATGCAACAAACAAACTTTACATGCAAATATATGTATATATGTACATATGTGTATTTGTTTGTATTTGCATTTGTAAAGTGAATGAATATGAAACAGTAAAAACGTCAGCAACAAGTCTCGACCAACAAAACTTCTAACCCTCTCGCCGATTGCTCTCCACATTTTTTTTCCTTTCCAACAGGTCTCCAACTTGTGGATCGCTGACTTATTTTGTATTTCCTAGAATTTCTATAAACACTCATTTGCTTGTATGTATGTCGAATTATACTCATTAAAATGAAAAATCTGTGTGTGAAATTGTGGATATTTGATATCTGATAGATGATTTATGATATATGATAAATTACATTATATGTATATTTATAATATTTAAATAATCATGGTTATCTAAAATTATCTATTAGCAGAAAAAATATGAACAATTATAGAATCAACGGCTAAGATAAGAACAACAAAATCTCAAAAATTACAAAAATTAGAAAACAAATAATAAATAGTTTAACGTTATGTGAATGACAATTGATTATTTATATTATCTAACTTCTCTATGGGATATCCGACCTCGAGGGAACTTTTTGAATACCAGTTTATCGTGTATAGCTTTATAAATATGCTTTTTTAAAATAAATTATATTATATATTCATGAATGTATTAGATATACATATTTTGGTACAATAAGGAAACTCATAGTTCCCCTTAAATTTTATTTTTAATTTTTTAATAATTTTCCTATCGTTTTTCAAGTTATTCAAAGGAAAAATATTCTTAGCATAGTCTCCCAGCAAGCTCATAAAAATATAATAATATTGCTTGGCTTGGATAATAATCCAAGCCTCGTTTCATGCATCCATTGTGAATGCATAGTGAAGGCAGTCGGGCATATTGTATCTCGTACTGCAAAACAAGTAGCTGTACATATTTTATAGCTATGTAGATAGAGAGATACATAGATACAAATTGGTTTGTTGTTGTTGCTATTCGGTTTTGCTTCAGTGATCTTTGTCATTTTCCGTCTCCCATTTCCTTTTTATTTTCCAATTCGCCGCTGCACAACAAACCCAAACGACGATCCAAATCGGATCCGAATCGGATCGCATCGGATCACAATCCCAGCCCCATTCGTCAATCGTCAAACAGTCAGCTAGGCCGCACCCCTTTTGCGCTACAAAATGAAAAGAGAGAAGTAGGGCAGTAGAGGCACGGGGCTTGACAGAGGGGAGTGTGGGCCTCTAATAGCAGATCCCCGATTCGCGTGCAGTAGCTGGCTGGGCTGACACATTCCATTGCCTGGGCCTGTGAGTCCATGTGTGTATAGACAATAGTTGAGGCAATTATTCTAGCTATGTGACTGACTATACGATTCCCTATACAATCTATTATTTATTGTATTATTGTATTTATTTCAAATTATTCAGATATTAAAAATCTATAACCTTCTACTTACAGACCTAGAAAAATTTACTAAATTTGATTTGATCTTAACAATTTGTTATACCAACTCTTTGTACATGCATACAGGGTATATTAACAACAGCAATGCGTAATTTCTGAATGAACTCAGCAAACGAATGTGTGTGAGTGAGAGAGAGCAGGCGAACTATGAGTGTCGCAGCATAAATACATGCGTATATGCATAGATCTACAGCTCTCTCACTCTATGCAATGAAAGCTCCCAGTGCAGTTCCCAGCAGCCACAGTCGTAGTTGCAGCGCAGCGTCAACGTCGTCGTCACTTCCGCTGCGGCTTTATGGCAACCCTGGCGCACTAGCTACAACACCTGTGCGGGCCACACACACACAGACACAGAGTCAGCAAATACAAATTATGCAAATCACATTAAAGTTGTAGAAAAAAACTCAAATCCCAATCTCCAATCTCCAGTTGCTTTTTGTCAGCTTAACCCACTTCACACCAACAAGCACACACACACACTTATTTCATATTTGTATGTGTGCATGCAGTGTGCGCTAAGGAAACCAACTCAAACAACAGCAACAACAATAGGCGCACAACTAATCACACATAAATATTGCTGTTGTTTTGTTAATGAAACAGAGCAGCAGCAGCAGCGGCAGCAGTAAAAACAATAATAGCGTCGTGTTCGCTCTTTTCGTCTCTATCTCTTCTTTACTCTCTCACACAATCTGTGTCTCTTGCAAAGCTTTTTAGCAGCACACACTTTGCGCTCAGCACACGCGCAGCAACAAAATTGTTCTCAAATTATAACTGTTGTTCAGCCGGCGATCGCGGAGCAATTAAAAAGAGAGCGCTGAGCACAGACGCGCCAACATGACTAACGCTTTTGAACGCTTGCTACTGCCTATTGCAGTAGCACAAAAAATATAAAAACAAAGACGAAAATATAAATAAAAACAAACCACATGCACAACAACTGTAAGCTGAAACAATGGCCAAACACACTCTGCTCTTGGGCTTTTTCTGACGACAGGGACTTTTTATTGAGAACCATTTCCTGCACACACCCACACAAACTGATTTGCTCTTCTCTCCTGTCACATCCTTCTCTTGCGCTTTGAGAAATTTTTATCTAGTTACGTAGCGATTTTTATATAGTTACGCAGCGATTTTTTGACTACAATTTCCTGAATTTATTTATAAATAACAATCAATTTATACATTATTCATGAACCGCACAATCCGGTACATATTTTCTGTTCTTCCTTTAGTTATTGTTTTTTCTCTCTGTCTCTCTCTCTCTCTCTCTTCTGGTTATTTAAGCCAACAGCCAACAGCTGTAAAGCTCCTTCCTAAAGAAATGCACTCAAAAGAGCGCAAAAAATTCCCAAAAATAAAAAACAACAAATTATTGACAATGCGCTTTGCCATTCGTTGCTGCTTATTGCTTTTCTTATTCTGCTTCTTTCTTCTTTTGCCTTTCGGCTGAATTCTTTAGTTACTTTTGCATTGTTGTTGCTGAATGCGCTACTGATTTTTATCACTTGACGTGCTGCGCTTTTATCTCAAGCAGTGCATCATACATACAAGCACAAACCTACATGCATTTTTTAAAGGTTTTATGCAATTGTTTGAGCGCGTCATTAGCCCTCAAGTTAACAGTTGCTCGACAGCAGCTCGCCACAAGGAAAAGCTGCAACAACAAATCCAGCAGCAACAGAAGCAGCAGCAGCGGAATTTAAAAAGTGGAACACAACAACAACAAAATACTGTCCAAAAGCAGGCAAAATAAAAGAAAAGGTCAGTGACCAAAATATGTTTTGCAATTGAGCAAAAACAACAACAGAAACAACAAAAGTAAAGCTTCGAGCTGAAAAGAATGTAGCAAAAAGCAAGCGAAGTGATAGCAACAACATTTTCGAATTTCTACAAATTTTTCTGCTGCCTCTTCGGTTTTTTTCTCTTTTTGGGCAAAGGAAGTGGGCCAAAAGTTATAAGAAGAAAAATATGCAACGTCTGCCGAAAGGATTTCAACATGCGAATAACCAAAGCTTAAGCTCACAAAGACAGAAAAAGAGAGAGAAAATGTGTGCGGGAGTGCAAGCGAGAAAGTGCATGAGTTCCGCACATCCGTCTGCAGCCTATTTATTTTGTAAGCGCTTTAATTCAATTAACGCCGCCGACGTCGCTGCCAGCGTCGTCAGCGCAACTCAATGTCCAATGTCCGCGTCAAGTATTCGCCCAGTTGTGGCCAGGCGAAAAATCGTTTCCTATTTTGCATGCGATTGGTTAAAGCAACGGCGAAAACACTGAGGACTTATGCATGTATGCATGTATATGTGTGAGTGTGCAGAAAAAAGGCAACATCAGCAAAAATAAACGTGCACACACACACATACATACATATGTATGTATATACGTATAAAAATAAGCAGCTACGAAATGCAAATGAAATGTAATTGAAAGCGTCGCTGCCTCTGCTGCTGCTACCCTTAAGCTCTGGCCAGGGGACATTGTCCGTTTATGGAACACTGTCAGCTGAGTAGGCGGAGGTGGAGGAAGAAAGGGAACTAGCCATTCACAGTGGTTGACGAGCGTAATGTCAATTAGGATGCTTGACTATTTCGGTATTCATGCCAAGCAAAGCATTTGTGTGACACTGTGCGACACGCACAAAGCAAAGAGCACATGACAATAAGCAAAAGCTGTTTGTTGTATATTTAATCCTCTCAAAGAGGATTTTTAACTCTGCGTCGCTGCCTTTTGCACACGACACCAACACATGTGTATATGTATACACACTCATATGCAGAGACTGGCAGGCAGACAAACTGAATAGCAAGCAAATATATTTTTCCTCGGTCGTCAAGGAGCGCGCACAAGAGGAAAGTACCTCTAAAAAGCACTCAGCGCAAATATCCCAGCACACAGGCACAGACAGCACTACACATGCATAAATACATACCCACATACACGCACAGTGCGCGATAAGCTTAATTGAGTGCGCAACTGTTGCTGCGACTATGGCTGCAGCTAAGGTGGAGCAGAGCAGCGAATGGCAGGCATACACAATTTTATCAAGGGGCCAAACGTCGACAGCACGCAAACATACAAGCACACACATACACGCTCACTTACGCAAACGCGCCAGGAGAGCAATAAGGAGAACACAAAAAATATGCACGCAGGCAGCGAGAACGAAGCGACGCGACGACGAGTCGTCAATTCGCCCCCAGCGCCAACCCCAGCGCACGAAGAGAAAGCAGCGAACGTTGCTGCTGTGTGCTTTTATTTCAATAGTCCGTCTCTGCCGTTTCTTTTGTTTGCTGTTGTTGTTGTTTTTACCGTGCCGTACGATCCTCATGTTCGCCGCATTCGCTTCGTTCACAGATGGGCGGTGCGGGTGGATATATTGAAATTCTACATACCAATGCTGAAATGTTTGCGCTGCTGTGTGTGGGTGTGCTTGCAGTTACACATCTGTTTGCTTTCCTGAGGATTTCTTGCTGGACGCATTATTTGGGTCAGATTTTTTATAAATATACATTTCTAATTGCCATGCACAAC